CAGCGCAGCTGAAGCTGAAAAGCTGACAATCTGCAGCTGCGCCAAACAGACCCTAAGTTTTCAAATTTATTGATAGTTTGTAAGAGATTCTCATAGAAATGTCCCTTATCAAAAACATAGCCGACCAAACCAGGTTTCCACCAAATGGAGCCTTCAAGCAACTTTTCCTCATAAAAAAAAAAAAAAAAAGTTTTTTTCCCATTCGATGGCCGTAAGAGAAATTGAAGGTGGATGAATTTGATAGATGCGAAGAGAAGAAACCCTTCTAATTGTTATTCTACAGGAGCTTGAGAATAAAAACGAGAAAAGGGGGAAGTGAGGAGAGGGGGTGAAGGAATTCATGGAGGAAGAGCATCTTAGACCCTAGCAGGACTATGGAGAAGAAGTCCCCAAGTGGCGACTATGGTTTCGAAAGCCCTAGGAGAGCGAGGAGGTCTCGCCTTGTCCCTCAATAATTGAAAATTTCTATGATAGTTGTGGGTGATGTGCTTGGTGTGGATTACTTTGATGTTTAGGTAATCATCTCATGAGACGTCCACATATCTACAGATTATTATTAACAAGTCATCGCCACATCAGATAACTCACCCATTAGAGAAAAATGACCCACTCACAAACCGCATTCCTATTTTAGATGCGGTCACCGTACCATCCGGTACTGCTACTCCAAAAAAAAAGAAATAGTAATAAAATAATCATTAACAGATAAAAAACATATATAAAACAAAGGAGCAAGAATCGAAGAGAAAAGGCACACCTTTTAATTGGCCACGCATTCATCACTTTCAGCCGTTACATTGCCCCCTCCAATATTTCCAAGAACAAGTCCCGCAGATCAATAATGGCGGAGGAAGACGAAGACGAGAGGCATGGAAGGAGCACGAGGGCCACAGTCCTAGATGAGCTCCACGCCCTCTGGAGCATGGCGGCCCCCATCACTGCCATGAACTGCGTCGTCTATCTCCGTGCCATGATATCCGTAGTCTGTCTCGGCCGGCTCGGCGCACTGGAGCTGGCCGGCGGCGGTCTATCTATCGGCTTCACCAACATCACCGGCTACTCTGTTCTCGTCGGACTCGCATCCGGTTTAGAACCACTTTGCAGCCAAGCCTACGGTTCCCGCAACTGGGACCTCATTTCCCTTTCTCTGCAGCGCGCCATTCTCCTCCTCCTCGCCGCCGCCATCCCCATATCCTTTCTCTGGCTCAACCTCGGTCCCATCTTCATCGCTCTCGGCCAAGACCCGGCCATTACCACCGCAGCTGCTTCCTATTGCCTCTTCTCCCTCCCAGACCTCCTCACCAATGCCTTCCTCCAACCCCTCCGTGTGTTCCTTCGTTCCCAAGGCATAACAAAACCCATGGCCCTCTGCTCTGCTGCCGCCGTGCTCCTCCACCTTCCCCTAAGCTTCTTATTCGCCTTTGTGCTCCATCTCGGCGTCCCAGGCGTCGCAATCGCCGCCGTCTTTACCAATCTAAATATGGCACTTTTCCTCCTCGCCTACCTCCATTTCTCCGGTGCTTGTAACCTCACCTGGCGTGGCTGGTCCCTTGCCGCCTTTCAACAACTCACTCCTCTGCTCCGCCTCGCCATCCCGTCCTGTTTCGGCGTCTGTCTCGAATGGTGGTGGTACGAAATCGTCACAGTGCTCGCCGGCTACCTTCCCAATCCAACCACCGCTGTCGGCGCAACCGCCATTCTAATTCAAACCACCAGCCTCATGTACACCGTTCCTATGTCTCTGGCGGCGTGTGTCTCCACCCGGGTACTACAAACCTCCATCAAATTAGTTTCGATTAAGATTTGGTGCTAATTGTTTCAATGCAGGTGGGAAATGAGTTGGGAGCGGGGAGGCCGAGGAGGGCGAGGATGGCAGCGATGGTTGCGATGGGATGTGCGGTGGTGATAGGGATGGTGAATGTGGGATGGACGGTGGCATGGAGGGAGAGGTGGACGCTGCTGTTCACGAAAGATGTGGGGATAGCGGGACTTGCGGCGGGGACGATGCCGGTGATTGGGCTGTGCGAGGTGGGCAACTGCCCGCAAACGACGGGGTGTGGGGTGTTGAGGGGAACGGCGAGGCCGGGCGTTGGGGCGAGGATTAATCTGCTGTCGTTTTATTTGGTGGGGATGCCGGTGGCGGTGGGGATGGCGTTCGGGCTGAGGGTTGGGTTTGGGGGGTTGTGGTATGGGCTGTTGACGGCGCAGTTGGTGTGCGTTGCGTACGTGGGGGTGGTGGTGCTGGGGTGGACGGATTGGGAGGGGGAGGCGATGAGGGCAAGGAAGCTCACCGGAAGAGTGGAGTTGGCCGGCGAGGTGGCAGGCGGTGGAGAGGAGGCAATGAGGTTTATGGGGCACTTCGATGGTGAGGCGTGGTTTTTTTTTTTTTTTTTTTTTTTTTTTTTTTTTTGGCAATGGTAAAGAAGAAGTGTAAATTTTTTATGGAGGTTAGATTTTAATTATGAATATTGATGAGGTTTTTTTTGGTTTGTTCTCACTTATATTTCGAGCTCAAAAAATGTGTTCATGTTCGGCTCGTTTATTTAGCGAGGCGAACACCCGTTCACAAACAAAAAGTCGTTTTGACAGCCCTAATCACGTGGTCATAAAATATTAATGATTGGTGCAAGATTTAAAACATATCTTTTATTTAATTTTCTTAATTAATACTTTTAATTGATTGTAAATCTTTGTCGCCTTGTAATCAATTAAATTTTTTTAAAAATACTACTCATCAAGAATATATATATATATATATTATTGATTAGTAGTATTTCTAGTGAAAATGAGCTGAACACGAACAAATAAATATTTTTTCGTGTTGTTGGTGTTCGGCTTATTAACTTAGGGAACGAGCCGAACACAACCCAAATATTTTGGAAGGATTCTATATATTTTGGAAGAAATCATTAATGTAGTGGGTTGACTAGGAGGTTTGACTGGGTTGACTAGGAGGTTTGACTAATGGTAGATTTATAAAAAAAATTTCTACAAATTGCATTTAAATTTAATTTTATCTATAAATTTGTCAACTTTGAAGGATTATTATTTTTAAAATTTGAAAAAAAAAAAACGGCTATTTATTTGTCACATCAAAAATTCATGTCAATTTTTGTGCAAATATTATTGTTATTATAAACATTTCGCTTGGTTTCGAAGGGTAAATCGTTGGCATGAGTGGAGGAGGTATCACCAGCATGTTCTTGACTTCAAAAATTGTAGGGAAGTCGAGCTTGTAATGCAGTACAAATCCTTGTCTAGGATAACATTGATAAATGACATTTCTTATGCCATGTTGTCCAAGATGATTAGATTTGTTCATTGACTGAAAGAAAGGGAGTCATACCTAGCATTCAATTCTTCTGAATTTATTTATTTTACACTTAAATATTACTTTTTTACATTTTATATCCAAATATTTCATATGAAAAGATTCAATATACATTTTCATGTATAGGTAAGGTGTCATGTAAGACATGTACATACATAATAGTTGAGTGGTATGTATGGGTGAGTCTTCCAAAAATTTTATCTATTTAAGAGTTTAACTTCTAACATTTTATATGTATTTGTATAATATTCTAGTCTCAACATCAATTCAATAAATTTTGTAATATTGCTGTTTTTGAAGTAAAACTCATTTTTATCATAAACATGTTTAGATGTGACTTCAAAAGTGTTGCATAAATAGGTCTGAAAATTTAATTGTTTGATATGTAAATAAATATGAGTTTTGTGTGATATGTGATGTGTGATGTGTGATGCATAGAAATTCTCCACATATAATATTTTCTATGAGAGCTGTGTATTAGCGCCAATGATTTATATAACTGTTAAGTGTAAGGCTCCACAAAGAATAGCGACCTATATGAAAAAAAATAAAAGCCAAATAGAATCAAGGAAAGGGGCATTTACATACTGTTGAATCCAGATTTGTCCTGAGGCATGTCAAAGGATTAGAACAGTAGGAACCAGAGATGAAAATAAGAGAAGAAATTATAACCATCAAATCATTGTACACTTTAAATTTTTGATAAAAATTAAAATTATTCATCATTAAATCAATAAAGGCTTGAAAAGACTATAAAATGTTCCAACAAAAGAACAAAACTCAAAAGAAAATATATCAAAATTGCTCTTTGAAAATTCAACTATATGTTATAATGGCAGGCTCTCTTAAGATCTCTCCTTACATGAAATGAAATAATGACATTGTAATTTAAATGATTGAATTACATATTTTATTGAACTGATTAATGTGATTAAAAATTGTGTTTAAATTTTTTAAAATGTTATTTTAAATAAAAATAGTAACCACTTTTTAAGATGAAAAATAAAATATAAGGCTAATTGTTATACTTGTTTATTATAAATTTAAGAGTCTTTTAGCATGTCAAACATTAAGTAACCACTAGAATAAATGATACCAAAATTGACATTATTCCAGGCATTTAATGAAGACTGAGTCTTCAATTGCCAAGCTGCCAACTTTCAATCTATTAAATGGTAATCCCATCTATTTTTTAGTGCTAAAATGTGGACATACTTGAAATTGAATTCATTACCATTCATTTCTTATAATATGTTATAAATAAGAGTATAAATAATTAGAGGAAACCATCTTTTATCTATATCATGAGATAGCAAACAATAATCTTTTCAAAAATCAATTTAAAAATATTAAGAGCTCGAATTTCTCAATAAAAATTAGTATTCAAACTAGTTCAACAACAGAATAATAGGAAACAAAATGATAATGAGTTTTCATCACAATACATAACCCATCAAGTACTTTAGTGTAAAGATCATAATTAATCAATTTAACAGAATTTTAAAACTTTTCTTAAAAAGTGCATTAAATAGACTGTTTAAGTGAAATAACTTTTAACCAGAGCAATTTATAACAAATAAAATCCTCTAAGTCATAAAAAAATCATATGAGTAAACTTAAAATCAAAAACATCAGTGTCATTCCATCATAATTTTTCATTTCTCTTATGATAAAAATTTTATCAATAAAGACGAGATATTGCAATGGAAGCGAAAAGGAAGACTCATAGGCTTACGATTTTCTATATAAATTTTAGAAAGTTATTGGTAGAACTTCCTAAGATAATTTTAGAGTTTATTTAGTAATTCTAAGTAGGTATGTGGGAGAATTGAATGCAATTCCAAAGCCACGCTAGGGTTGACAAAGTTGGGTTGATTTAGATTCAACTTGGTTTTTTAAATTTCTAAAGTAATATTATTATATCTCCACATGTTAATATCTCAACTTCTTTATACTTTTGTAGGGGTCTTTGATTAGAAAGAAGTGTGAAGGAATTGAGAAGATAGGGTGAAAAAAATAATCTACATGAAACCCATAAGTGATGTTTATGACTTTAACTGGTACAGTTGGGGCTTGGACCAAACTATAAAAGCTTTAGCGATATAAGAATGTGCCCATGGTTTTAAACTATTTAATAGTGGATTTTATTAGAGAAAATGAGGTATGTGGGTGTCTGCATTGTTAGGGACCACACATAGAAGTTTAAAAATTTTTTCGCTTATGATTGAATATGACATCAATGAATAACACATCATTCGAAAAGAAGAAAATACTACTCTATGATAAATCCAATATTAAAGTGATTGTTTCAATACTCCTAAAGGCTACAAGAAAATAGTTTTTTTTTTCTCTTATCCTAAATTGATAAGTTATTTTAATTATGGGGTCTGATATCCCTAAAAACACTGTCATTGCCCGTCCCAAGCCCGGATGTGAGAAGTGGTGGGTTGTGTTAGGTAGTCGATGGTCAACGTAAAACTTGTCGAAATAAAATCATGACATTAATCATTTTGAACATTGTGTAAGTGTTAGGGCGTCCCCTGGAAACGACGCTTTATATGACTTAATTACAATGAAAAGTGTGCAAGAGTCGCAACACCGACGCCCGAGGGTAGTGTCAAATAAGGAAGGGTTCTCACATTATGGACGGATGCGTGTAAAGAAGTCTGTCTATGAAACTAATGAAACTAATATTAAGATATTATCTTGAAATAAAGTGTCAAACTTGCTTGCTCTTACATATATTTCAAAATTTTCTTTCATAAAATAAACTTAGCATAATCTTTTGGGATGATCAGAACACAAACTATTTTTTTCAAAATATGTAAAATTTATTTCAACTTTTGTGATCATCAGTCGCACCAATTTGGGTGTTCAATAGTAAGAATGGCTTAACACCAAAGTTATTTTCATATATGACTGGTAAAAAAAATGCTCGAGCTACTTTCAATAAGAATTTATTTTTTCTTTCATTTCAGTCACACAATTTTGTTATGGAGTATCGACATAATAGTTTTTATGAACTATTCTTTTTTTCTTACAAAAATTCCAAAATGTTACTCTAGACTAAAGAAATTGAAAAAAGCAAAGATGTTGCTAACTTATCTTACATGTAAACTTCAACTTTGTATCAAAGCAGATATAATTCCATTGGTAAAAATATCTCCTATAAAAAGGAACCAATACTAAAAATTCTTTCTCCAAAATGTTTCTTTAGACTGAAGAAGACGCAAGAGCAAGCAAGTTTACCAACTAACATCAATGCATGCATATGTAGAACAAGTTCGCAAAAAAGTCTTAATGAAATTGAAAAACAATACTCACATATATTTCATCCCATGACTTCTCTTAGTTGATCATGATAAGTATAGATGTTGTTAACTTATATGTCATGTAAACTTCAACTTTGCATTATGCAATTCCATTGGTAAAAATCTCTCAAATAAAAAAACAAAGCAGTGCTCAAAATTCTCCTCTCAAAATGTTTCTTTAAAATAAAGAAGAGGCAAGAGCCATGCATACACAAAAAAAAATCCACACAAATTCTTAATGAAATAGAAAAATAATGCTCACATATATTTCATTCCATAACTTCTCCTAGATAATCAGGATAAGTATAAATGCTATTTAAATTATCTGTTATGTAAACTTCAACTTTGCATCAAAGTATAAGCAATTTTATTTTTAAAAATATAGATGTTGATAACTTTTTTGTCATGTAAACTTCAACTCTATATCAAAGCACATGTAATTTCATTTGTAAAAATCTCTTAGATAAAAAAGAAATGAACCAATGCTCAAATTCCTCTCCCCCCAACACCCAAAAATGTCACTCTAGACTAAAAAATAGGCAAGGGCAAGCAAATTAACCAACTAACATCTGTGCATGCACATGCAAAACAAGTCCATAAAAATTCTTAATGAAATAGAATAACAATGTTCATATATATTTTATTCCATACCTTTTCATAGTTGATCAGGATAAGTATAGATGCTTCTAACCTGTCTGTCATGTGAACTTCAAGTTTGCATCAAAGTATATGTTATTCCATTAGCAAAAATCTCTCAAATAAAAAAAGAAAGCTGTGCTCAAAATTCTCTCCACAAAATGTTACTCTAAACTGAAGAAGAGACAAGAGCAAGCAAATCAACTAACATCAATGCATGCATATGCAGAACAAGTTTTAAAAAAAAATTCTTAAAAAAATAGAGGAACTTTGCTCATATTAATTTAATTTCATAACACCTCCTAGTTGATCAACATAAGTATAGATTCTTCTAAATTATCTATCATGTAAGCTTTAAGTTTGCATCAAAGCATATATTATTTCATTGATAAAAATCTCTCAAATAAAAAAAAGAAATAGTGCTCAAAATTCTCCCCCAAAAATGCTGCTTTAAACTGAAGAAGTGGCAAGTGCAAACAAATTGACCAACTAACATCGGTTTCAAGTTCGTAAAAATTTCTTAAAAAAATTAAAAAATATTGTTGAAATATATTTTATTTCATAATTTTTATTGATTGATCAGAATAACCATAGATGTTGCTAACAAAATCATATGCAATTCGATAAAAAAAATATGGGAACCATGCATATCAAAAACAATTCCAACAAAAATTCTCAGAGAGACTGTAAAATAGTGTTCATATATCTTTCCTCCAATAACTTTTCATATTTGATTATTAGAAAAATAGATGTTGTTGTTAACTTATCTATCATGTAACATTCAAATTCGCATAAAAGCAAATACATTTCCAACAGTAAAAATTTTTAAAATAAAAAAATTTGAACCAATGCTCAAATATCTCCCCCCGGAATGTATTAAACTGAAGGTAAGAACAAACAAATAGACTTACTAACATCAGAACATGTATATAAGAAATATGTCTAACAAAAATTCTCAAACAAACAGAAAATTAGTACACCTAACCGAACACAAAAGCCAAACATAGAAGCCGAACGACGCAACGAAACAGAGGAAAATCTAAACCG